AGCAGAGCAAGCAGCACTGTCATACTAATAGTAAGTTTTTCTAATTTTTATTTCATTTCATTTCCTTTATTTTTATTTTTTATTTTTATTTTTATTTTTATTTTTATTTTTAATATTATATTAACAATTTACAGCTAGTGCGCTACATGAGATTAAATATTATTAATATTAATAAAAACATTTATTAAAGCATTTTCTATTCTAGTAACTGGTTTATAAAATTATTAAAGACTTTAATAATAATTTCTAGTTTTAGGCTATAGGTCTTAACGCTTTGCAAAAAGCCATAAAGGCTTTCTTAATTAATATTTTTAAAAATAAGTATTTTTAGGTATTAGTTTTAGTATTAGTTTAATTAGCCTTAGCTATTAATCTAATCGCTATTTATACTAAATAAGTTATAATATAGTTTAAAGATTTTTATTACTTTTTTTAAATTATCTGCTGCCTAGCTGGCTATATTAATTTTATTAATAACTTAAATTTAGCTTATATCACTAAAGCCGGCTATTACTAGTAAAGGCTAATAATAAAGGAATAAAGCTAAATATAGGGTTTACATAAAGTTAGAGTTTAGTATCCTATTTCTAAATAGGAGTTTTAGTAACTATTCTAGGTTTAAAAATAAATAAAATTTTATACTATAACTTAATATAAGTAGCTACTAGTAACTTAAAATTTTAAAGTAAATATATAATATACTTTACTATACTCAGCCTACTAATATTTATGTTAGCTTTAGTATTTTAGTAATTACAAAAAAAAATTTCATATTTATTTTATTTACTAGTATTAATGACTTTGTATTAACAATAGTAAATATATATATTTATACTAATAAATTTAGATTTTTACTACTTTTAAGTATATAAAAGTTTTATAAACTTTAGAAATTACTTTTAATTTATTTTATTTAAGTTATTTGAAAGTTTTTACTAAAATTTTTATTATATTTTTTATATAGTTTAGTATTTAAAAGTAAAGTAATAATAATAAATTTTAAAAATATATTTAATTTTTATTTACTTTTAATATTATGTAACTTTTATTTAAAAGTTTAAAATATATATTTTAACTATGGTTTTAGTAACTTTTTTAAAATTACTAAAATATGATTTAAAATTTTATTTAAAAGAGTAAGTATTTAAATATTCTTAATAATTCCAAAATTATATATATATATAAGCTATTTAATTAAACTTTTTTTTAATACTAAAAATAAGTTATATAAATTATTTATATATAATGTATTTTATAAGTGAGCTACGCATATAGGCGAGCTGCATATCTTAAAATTTACTAAAAAATTAAAATTTTCTACCTTCATATCTTAATAACCACTTAATAGTAAATTCTAAAAATTGAAATTTAAGCTTTTTTATATGTATTACAGCATTTCTAAAGGTTGCATGAAAATTAGTTAAGTAGTTTTTAAGATATAGTAATATAACATAGTTTTCACTTCTAAATTACTATATCTTAAAAACTACTTAACTAATTTTCATGTAACCTTCAGAAATGCTGTAATATATATAAAAAAGTTTAAATTTCAATTTTTAGAATTTACTATAAAGTGGTTATTAAGATATAAAGGTGGAAAATTTTGATTTTTTAGTGAATTTTAAGATGCGCAGCTCGCCTATATGTGTAGCTCACCTATAAAATACGTTACTTTTATATATAACTATAAAAATAGTAAAAAAATATTTCTAAGCTTAATATACTTACTAAGTTTAGTATACTTAATATTAAAGTTTATATTAAATAAGTATAAGCACTATTTATAATATATAAAATTAATTTATCTAATTATTTTAAAAAACACTCTAGTGTTCAAATTATTATTATATATAATAATTTAGTATAAATAGTAATTACTTATTTTAGTAATTAAATTCTTAGACTTTTAGCTTACTTTTTATAGTAGTTTTTTTTTTTTTTTTAAATTTTTTTTTTACATTTAGCTACTTAAAGTTTTGTATAATATATATAAATAGTACTATTTTTTTATATCTGCTATTAATTATTTTTTAACACTTTTTATAAGTATTAATAGTAATATTAATTTATATAAGCTTTTTACTAGCTTTTTTTTTATTAAGTGCTATAATAATAGTACTCTTTTAAAATTTAAAAAGTAGCTAAGTAGTATCTCTTATTAGCTTATCTTAAAATTAATACTTTATATATACTTTTTTATAAATTTATTTAATTACTAGGCTTTATATAATATTAGTAGTAAGAAAACTACTTTTAGTAAAAAAAATAAAAATATTTAAATCTAATTAATAGTCTTTAACTTTGATAGTATAATACTAAAATTATATAGTTAAAAGCCTATTTATTTAAAAGCTAATTAAATACTATTTAGTTTATAAATCTTTTTATATACATTATAAATTACGTATAGAAATTTAATTTTATTAAAGTTATTATAGTTAAACTAAGTCTTTATTTTAATATATTTTTTATAGTAGTACTTAAATAACAAAAAAACTACAACATTAAGCAGCTATAGTATATATATTATATAAGTATTATAATATAGTCTTATATAGACTATTATTTTTAAATTTATTTAAATTAAGTACTATATAAAGTTTTTATACAAACTATATAAGTTTTTTTATTTTTATAATTTTATATATATTCTGTTTATAGCTTTTATATATAGCTTTATAACCTACGTTTTATAATTTATTTTATATTATATACTATTATTATAGTTACTAATTTTGTCTATACTCTACTGCTCCCTAATAATAAGATAATAAAAGAAAAGGCTATATTCTTTAACTTTAGTAGAAATTAATAAAATTATAAGTAAACTTTAAAATATAGCTATTAAATATTAATATTTTCTACTTATTACGTTTTTTACTAAGTCTTATATACTTATTAAAGTGGTAAATATAGTTTATACTAAGTTAATTATTTATATAGCTAGAGCTTAACACCTTAAGTAAAAAGTTAAAATTAAGATTAAGTTCTTTAGAGATATACTAGTATATAATTACTGCCCCACGTAATATACAAAAAAATAGAATATTTTAACTAATTATATTAATAGCTTTTATAAAAGTAATAAATTCTTACTCTATATTAAATAAAAACTCTGTAATATAATAGACCTTTAAAGTAATAATTTCTTAATTACTATTAATACTAATTTGTGTTCTATACTTATTTATATTTTATATATTCTTTAGTTTTAGCTTTAGTTTATCTACTATATACTTATACTCTTAAAAATAATTCTTAAATACATGTTATTTTTAAGAGATAAATTTTATAAGTTTTTAAGACTTTTATTTAACACATTAAATGTATAAATTAGCTGCTTAGTAGTGTTTAAAAAAGTTATAGCCAAAAGACTTAAAAATAGTACTAGATAGGAATAAGAGAATTTAAATATATTTTATAGTAGCTTATTATATCTCTATAAGAAAAAACTACCTAAAATTATTAAAACACTTAATATAGAGCTTAAGAGCCTTTAATTAAACTAAAATTAGCTTTTAGTTAGTTTTTTATTATGTTAATCTACTGCTAGGGTTCTTAGAGTATTATAATAGCTACTAATAATCTACATTAAATATCTTTACTACGTTCTTAATAATATAGGAATTCTTTATAGAAATTTATTATAGAACCAGCATAAGCTGCGCTTCTTCTCTAAGATAATTAGATATTATATTAAGATATAAGTAATAGAATTAAATAGGATCTTAGTATTAGATATACTAAGCTTAGTAAGTATATTAAGCCCGGAAGCACTCTCTAGCAAAGCGAGGAGGTGTGTGGCGTGAGTATAACATATTTAATAAATAAGTAGGTTGGACAAGTAAGCAGGTCACCTTAAAACTCACTAAAAAATTATGAACTCGCACTTGAATATCTCAACAACCACATAATGATAAATCCTAAAAATTTAACAGGTAACTGAGAGTGCTTCGAAATAGATGCCATTGAATTTTTAAAAGCTAGCAATTAATCATTATTAAGATATTTAAGAAAAATAAATTTGGGGGCCGAATTCTAGTATCTCAACAACTATTAACTTCTAGCAGCTATAAATTTAATAGCGTCTATTTCGAAGCACTCCAGGTTATCTGTTAAATTTTTAGAATTTATCATTATGTGGTTGTTGAGATATTCAAGTGCGAATTCTTGATATTTTGGTAAGTTTCGAGGTGACCCACCACGCAAACCGTACGCGCCGTACCATCCGCACTCACGACAATCTTCGTCCCACATCTCACGAAGAGCCAGTAGGGTGAAAGTATCTCATTTCGTCGATCTTCGGTCTGATGTAATAGAGCGGACATGGCTCTGGTTTACTTCTTTTCAAATACACCGAACACTCAGGAGATGAACTATATCCCGGAAGCTGGGAGGAAACCTCCTCGAGAGACCGGCCATCGAGCATCACCCGAACGGTGTTTTCACTCTGAGGCGGAATTTTTCTATAAAGGGATTCGAGTTTTCGTGTCGAATAGAATTCACCTTTGCTATCCACGCCCTTGCCATCGCTCTAGATGTCGATGACCTTGAAAAAGCAGTCATTCCTTTCCACATCATCGCTTACCCAAGATGAGCAGTTACGGCTTGCAGGAAGAATTGCTCCCTTGCCAGTCGCTTCAATATTTCCATCACTGAGCTTGAGAGTAGGGCCAGAGTCTTCTCGGTTGTTGTTGTTTCCGGGCGGAATTGGCTGCTCAGTTGTAGGGAGTATCGCGTCTTTCGTCTCGTAGGAGTGAGACATCGTTGGAAAAGCATGCGCTCCGCTTGACTTGCAGCTTAGTGTCGTTTGAGGGTACAACGATTTTGAGGCACAAGACGGAGAACCTTGAAAATTTTGGAGGATAGGCGGGTCCTAGACTGACGACGTTGTTTACGAAGGCGCGACTTCAGCCCTCCAGCTTTGCTTTTTCTGCTTATGTGGCATGGGGGCCAAATGTATCCCGTTCTAAGAATTACAGGAGTATTCTATGCTGTCTAAAACTTTCAATGCGATTGTAACCTTCGACACAACTTTTATTCTAAACTTTTCAAGGGACGTTCTATGTTCCAGCTATTGTGTAGTAAGGTTTCTAATTAAAGTGTACATCTCTTATTATCGCAGTAGTACGAAAGATGTAGAGTTAGGAAGAAGTGAAGGATCCGGGGTGCCATTCTCGCTTCCGCAAGCTAATAAGATTTGGAGAGAGGTAATCTATTAAATACACCTTGCTTCATAAGATGGAATGGGGACGCACGTATGAAGTGTCGGTTACAGGCTCCATTACGGCGTATAGCTGAATTATACCAATGAGTCTTCTTACTCGATCCGGACTGTCTCAATTGGTACTTCAAAAGGCACTGTGCGCTCCGGAGTAGAGACCGAACCAACACGTCTGTAGATTTCAGGAACGTCAGGCCTTTTCCCAAGCACAATGCCATGCAGTCGCATTGGTTCTGTACCAAACCACTTTTGGGTGTCCGAAGCTTCCTCTTCAGCTGTAAAGCACCACAAGCACCAGACTTTACCGCGAAACGGCATGGTTGGCGCCCATTTTCGACTAATAACTTTGATAGCTGAGCCATTTCTGTCCCGGGCGTCCACTTGTGCGAGCGAGGTGTCAGCGATGAAGGTAAAGTGTTGGCCTTGATCCAGTGACGTGAGGCAGAACTTCGGCGCTCCGAAATCATCCAACTCCCCGGCATATTCGAGCTCTGCTTCTTGCAATGGACCCGAAAGTTTAAGTATGCCAGATCGTACTTCGCCGAAGGGGTTTTCCTTTGGAGAATTGCAATCAATTGCTAAGATTGTGCAATGGACTGTGATGGGGGTCGTGGCTTCATTGATTGTCTCCACTGCAAATGCAATCCCGCCATGAATAGAAGTCCAAGACCAAGAGGGTGCCTGTAGCATCCGTGGAGGATTTTCGAGCTCCACCCATCCCCAGCTAGACCATACTATGTCGACTTCAAGTGTCTCCCTCCACAGCCCTGCGATGTAGGAGTACCCTGTTTGTTCTTGGAGATGCGAGGCAATACCCGATATAGCTGGCATTTTGTCGCTGAGATTAGTGAGAGCGCGATCAGAGTATGCTCGGACGCAGAAACGCCACGCGTTGTCAGCATAGGTCCTGAATTGGGTCAATTCCCGGATAAGACTGTATGTATCATTCTGGATCGGATGCCCGTCTTCCGAAATCATCTCCGAGGAACATTCCCAAACGATTTCAGACTCCGCAAAATGTATCATCCGCTGTGAGAGTGCATGCTCCTGAAAGGTCCAACCGCGATCTGTTAGAGGGCCGAGGTCGTGAACTGGTGAAGGCCATAACCTTGCAGGTCTTACTTGGGCTATGATGGGGTAGTCTACACCGTCTTTTCTAGCAAACAGCATTTTCTTGGGCTCGGAAACTGCGGTTCTGTCTTCAAACATGCCGCTCTGCGCTGTCTTTGACGACGAGGCGGCGATGGTGATGAAAGCATTCTTGTAATAGCTTCCCATTTTCGCCGCCTCAATCTCCCAGTCTTTGCGCGAATCTTGTAGGATGCAAAGACAATCAATCCAGATATATCTTAGCTCAAGTTTACGAGTAATAGTTATAGCATCCTGGAGTGTTGAAGGGAGCTGACACCATGGAATTCCTCTCTTGAAGACATCTAATGTGGCTGACGTGGATTTGATCAGAGCACTGGCAGGTCCCCAACAGTAGCTAAGGGCGGCATAGAAGCCTTTGTCCTTTTCAGTCTCATGTAGGCTGAGGTTATCATTGTCAACCCCCAAATCAATGACCCGCTTCGGAAGCGCCGTTTCGACCGGAGAATGTGAAGAATGATTCGAAGTACAATGGTGTACGCGGTCTTGGATGAATTGCAAGCACTTCATATCACCTGAATTCCGTTCCAGAATTCGGCTCGTCCCCAGGTTGGGGAGCTCCGGAATGCGGGCTTCTGTGAAAATGCATCAGCTAAACGCGCATGCTGAAGAGCAACTCGAGTGCGCGTACTGCTGGCGTTTGAAAACTGAACGTTTACAAGGTCGCGTAGCAGGGCGTTTGGGTCCTCCGGAATGTCTTGGACACGGACTTCAAAAGGTCGTTTATCTGGCGCAAGTACATGCAAATCAAGCTTCTCCTGTTTCGACCGCCAGTCAGGAAGGAAGAGATCCAGGACGTTCAGAAGGAACGAACAGATCGAACAACCCCCGCCACTCTTTCCAATGACGTCGCTAGCGTGTATGGAGTAGTCTTCGAAGACACGGCCAGTTATCCACTCGGAGCTATAAGCTACCGCGTTCGAATCAAAATTCCTGCAGCATTCGCATCTTTCGGCCATTTCGAGGAAGGGTCGTGGAAACATGTCTCAGTGTAGGTGGGCTGAGAAGGAAACGGCGCGCTCGCTCAATGTGAAGCCCAGCCTTTAAGGAGCCGATCATAGAGGAAAGGAGCTGCTAAAGGGTGCCTAAGATGGTCAATCGCCATTCTTAGCACGTGCGCACGTGGTCCTGGTGGGGGTTGATGGGATGTCGAGCGGGGTTCGATGGGTGGTCAATGCGAGCGTCACTGGGCGTGCCATAGGCAATTTCACAGGCCAATGAAACACAAAACAAAACGTCGACATTTCGGTTCCACGTGCAAAAAGCTGGGAGGCGGTGTGATATGCTTATTTCCTTTCAGAGGCAAATGCGACGTAGACGCCAACGATGATCCAATCGAAGAGGAGCAAGTGGTATCCATAACGCCGCACTCTAGCCCTTCCTATCAGGAGTCTACTTCTTTTCGCGACATGGGACCATCGTACAATGAGGTTGGCGACGGAGGCTATAACCACAGCCTCGAGGATTTTATGGAAGAATTCGCCGATAGATAGGAAGAGGGCGGTAGCAGCGACGGTAATAACGGTGACGGTCATGATTATGAGAGCAACGATAGAGAAGGTGATGAGGACAAAGACGAGGATAGCTCCAGCTCCAGCTCCAGCGACGATGACAAAAGCAATAGCGACGACAAGACAAGTGCCACAGGCATGCAGGGGAGAAGACACTTTCATTATGAGGTTGTGCCCGTTGCAGCGATACCAATTACCACCAGACGTACAGTAACTAGTACCTATAAAGACATTGTGTAGAGAAAGAATTTCAGCGTCCCAGCCAGGCATACCGCGGAAAGGGAACAAGAGCCCTCAAGGACAATGCTGGTCATCATTGAAAGGCATCATGACTCTAGGTCCTCGGCCGTCTTCGATGGTTTCTTCCTCACTATTAAGCATATAGGCGTAAAGAGCTTCTCCCGACCACCCGCTACTAGTGCGTCTCCTCCTCTTGCCATGCTGTCTCCGGCTTTCTGGCTACCCTTCGGTGCAAGAGATAACGCCTCCATGGCACCAACGAAGCGATGAACGATGGTTCTGCACAGCCCCGTTATTCGAAAGATTGTTGGGAAATCCCAAATGCTTTGTATCATAGAAGTCTCCCGCCAGTGGGTAGTGCGACTGGATAGAGCTGGGTCGCTCGGCAAGATCTTCGTGGTGTAGCATTTCAAAACTACCATCTCCATTGAACTGGGGGTTGACCGACATTTTTTCCATACTAGAGACACCATTCCCCTCCTCGACATGCAAGCGAATCTGACTGTAGCGCTAGTTATCGTTATCGTATTTATCAGTCATGAGCCACTCGTAGATACCAAAAACCACCTTATGTTTAAGGACTCGGAAGATTTCGGAGTAGACGCTGTGGAGAGCAGGGGCATGAACAGTTGCCTCGATCGCGTAAACAGCATCGAACGAATCTTCTGTGAGGGGCATTTGCTACAAATCCTAAAGTTAGTAGCAACCATAACTAGACCGTTCGACGAGGTACGAACCATGGAATCTCCCTTCACAAATTTGAGCTTATGAGACAGCCTTTCCATTCCAGTGTAGTGTCGCCCGGTCGATTTGGTAGTTGTTGTTGTTCAGACCAACCACACGAGCACCGCTGAACTTGGCAATCTCTTTAGCAGGCCCACCAACTCCGCATCCTACGTCCAGGACTACCGCATTCTCACGAATATCCGTTACATGCGCCAAGAAGTGCTCATGGCGAGCAATCGCTCGACGGAAGGACTCGCCAACTGAGAAACGGCAGAAATGGAAGGATTGGACCCAGCCGTACTCGTAAGGGTCAGTTGAAAGGTTGTGGTAACTGCGGACTTCAGTTAGTGGCACAGCAACTTCAGCTTGGAGGAGACTTACTGTCGCGTCAACGTGGCGTACTCAGTTCTGCGCTGCGCTCTGATGTCTTCCGTCTCCTTGGCCGCTGTCTTGTTGTCCCAATACTTGGAGTACTCGTCGACAGCTAGTTTCTGGGCACCGCTATTCTTCTAGAATATCGCAGTCAGACCACCTGTGACCTTGAGTCCTTGCCATGCATAGCCTGATTGAAGGCAGCATCCTGTTTATGGTCCTCCTTCTCAAGCATTGCCGTCGAGAAATTTGCGGACTAGCGATTGCCAAAGAAAAAGTGAAGCAAAAAATTCATAGGGAGTGCAGATGTGCGAAGTCTTTCTAGATATTGGGAAGTTACGAATCCCTGGCATTATCGCTAGCGTCGGTACATGGTCCCAATGTGGGGCCTGGCTCGCTGTAACTTCGTATAGACACTGCGTTGATAGGCTGCCCCGCACTGCACATGATCCATCACTAGCAGCTGCGATCAGTTGTTCTGGAACCCTCAGAGCTTTTCCTACTCAACGAAGAGGTAGATATCAGCTGTTTACGTACCTCTACAGCCATTAGTACTGAAGCCATAGTTTTAGTCATGACGTAAGACTGTTCATTCTGTGCAGAATGCCTCGCAAATACGTGCGCCTATGATGCTGTTGTGCCACTTTGCCAAACTATATATGTCTCTTTGACAAGCCCTGCCTTCCTGGCCAAAGGTGAAGCAATGAAGAGAGTTCCTATAGGGCAAGGCAGCAGTATCTTATCCATCTTTTCTGCGAATGCTAATACGATCTTGCTTAAGTGACTATGTCGTCTGGTTTAATCACTCAGTTAGTAGCTCCCATTAGTATTGGCTCTTCAGCTCTAAGTGCCGGACGCTTATACTCTGATGCCATGTCTCAGAGGAGATGCCTAGATGAAAAGCGAAATATATAACTACCTTTTATCGTCATATCTAAGAACCTTCCCCACTCCCCAAACCAACAAATGGTTTTCTAGTTGATGCTGTTAAGGTATGCCGAGGTGGTGGATGCTGACAATGCTTACAGGGGTGGCAAAACACACAGTACCATGGAAAAGATCGCCCTTGCTACAAGGCCACATAATTCCTAAATAGCTAAGTACCTTAAACACCTTTCCTCGCAAATCCTGACTCTGTGCTAGGTTTATCTCTCTGTGGCTCTGGGGCTGAACCTCGATGTAATCCGTCGCCCGATAGAAAGCTGCCCTTTCATTTCCAATAATCAATTTGCAATCCTGTGAAACAGGCATATGTAACCTCTGCCTACTACCAGGTTCTTCGTAGAGCCTTCGCGAACCCACGTTAATATTTCAGCGTGACAACGCAAAGCTCTGGGTCTTCCTCAAACTTCCGTCTCATGGCAAGCAACTCCTCCACATCCCACGCCGAGGGCAGAAACCGTCCCTTTAGGGAATCGGCCGCTGGGCTTGCAAGCCAAACGGCAAAATCTGCCGGCAAACTCTCGTCGTCGCATTCCATAGTATGCTCCTTCATCTCATTCCTCCGTGCCGCCGGCATACAAAGCGTACCAGCGTGAAAACTGTAAATACAAATCGGTGATCCCTCGAGCCAACCAACCTCGCTGTGAAGCTGCCGCATCACGCATGTGAAAAGCCAGCTTACTGCCGATGTACGCAGCCAGGCCCGGCAGCGCCAGGTGGGCAGCGACGGAAGAGACGTCCACGATGACCTTTTCTTGTGTCGGCACTTTCGTACTGCTGGTACTCTTGGCTATGTCGTTCATGGACGCTAGTGGGATGAATAGCGTCTCTGGCTTGAGAAATGTGCGCACGACGTTCATGTCGCCCAGGACAGTTCTCCCGAAGGCGTCGCGGACGAGCTGCTGGTCGAATCTTACAGTGGTCTCACCTTGCACAATATGTGCAGCGTTCATAATGTCAATATCAACACCTTTGGTTGGGTAACCCGCTGGATTGTCCTCACGCGCTTCCTGACGGCATGAAAGACGGAATTGGTAGCTGCAGTATCTCGCATGTCGAGGGGGTAGGTCGAAACAGCCGTGTTGCGCTTCGCAGCAGCGTTTTCGGCATTCAGATTTGTTGACGTCTCTTTTGGGGCTTTAGTGCGATGCATGAGCAGGACGACGGTCGCGGCTCCCTCGGCGGAGAAGTCACTAGCGATAGCGTATCCAATGCCGATTGCAACGCCGCTGATAACGACAGCGTTGCCTGTAGTGGAGTTAAGGTAGATGGTGGGCTCAGTAGCCGGGTACTGCGTGCGGTGGGTCGTCTTCGTTAAGTGGCGGAAGCCTATGGTGCTAGAGGTTGTCGGCGGTCGTGACAGGGGATCTCACAAAGGACGTAGTCGACGTGGGACTGAAAGCTCCTTCTATGAAATCAAATACCTCTGTGGATACCTCTGATAAAATACCGGTGTTATTTGTCAACCAAATCACTTATACAAGAATTCGACCCTTTCGTCCGCGGTGCGCCATTCCCGCTCCGCTAGTCGGACTAGACAAGCTTTGTAAAACTCCGCATTTTCATCCGCAAGCTGAAAGTGTGGATGTGGAATTGATGAAGGCGAGAAAGAAGGAGCTCGGGAAGAGGCATCCCTCCGCGCTGAGCAGTATGGCGAACCTGGCATTCACTTTTGTAAGCATTAGAGCTTTGCCGAATGCCTCCGTATACCATCCTGCGTCAAGATGTCGAAGTGGAAAGACTCGATTACCGTGTCCATCGATATGTTGGACGACTATCGTGAGCGAAGAAGAAAGACATGCCAAGTGGGTTTATGGCGGTGGTCGCGAATTCCGGTCAAAACAACGGTGGATACCCCAAATCCTAGCGAGGGGATGTTGAGATGGCCCATCACTTTCTCTGAGGATTTGGAAGAATTTGGACACAGTGACAGGGGCCTACCGACGTTGTAGACAATGGTCAAAAGGGCAGCAGTTTCGTAACGACACCAATTCCACTGGAAAAAATGCTCCCAAGATGCCACGGTTATCACTACCTCCAG